AAAGTCCAGATGAATGTATTCAGACATTTCCCTGAGGGGAATAAAACCTGTCTGCTTACTCTTTACGGTCTGATAAAAATATATCCTAATACGTTACTATCAAGCCTACTAATTTCATCAAATATTTCTAATGTACACGTGTCTGGAGGATAAAAAGATCACTAGGCGCATTTTCGACAGTTTCCATCAATAGACGTATTTTTTATGAACAGGTTAAGCGAAAGGCAACTCAGAATATGAATATTATATAAGTATAATGTTTCAGAGTTTCCCAATACTGTGTCCATCGTTTTGAAATTGTATTAGTCTCAACCCCCCAGAACTGACTATTATCAATCGGTGGCTTTACAAGAACAGTATAAGTTTAAATCACTCGTCATTTATGTATTGTGCACTCCAGTTCGAATGCATTTATGCAACCAAAATGAAGTCAGAAACCGCCCAGAACGGCTCAACTGGGAATGGTCCATAAAACTTAACGAATTTCTATCCATTTCACGACTCTACTTTCATTATCAAATTTAATGACTTCCGGGACTTTGGATCATCATATATACTACCACCGGAGAATTTAGTCTGTCCGAAGCCCAGACAAGCGAATCACTTGAAGGGGTGGTATTGCAATGCAAACTATTCGCATGAATGAGGTTGGAGGTATACAACAACATATTTCCAAATATCAGCGGATCATTTAGAGCGAGTAGCTGACGAACTATACCACCTCGGAAATGCATCGGTGATCTGTGACACATCTATGAAAATATCAATGACCGGTTCGTTTGATTACCATTGGTTAGTTCGTTTGTATCAACGTTATTCTAGGGTATTGTGGACATTTAACTACAAGGATTCAGGATTTCGATTTAACACTTTTGTGTGCCTTTTCCGAGAGTGAAATTCTTCTCTTTCTGATTAACCTTTTAGCCCATTATGATATATAGAAATGCTACTTTAGGACTACACTGATACTCTAACACACTTTTGTGGTGATCGTGTAACGAGTACGCACGAACCACGGTACAGATTCCAGGTAACCAATCAAGAAACGGATTAACCGACCAATCCTGTGGTCTTTATTGGCACCAACCAGATTGGCTGAATGCAAGAAGATAAACAAATAAACAATATCGTTGTCGATTAGACATTGAAGAATCAACTATAGAATATTTGATGCTTATGATATATATTTGCATGATTTTCTGAATAGAATTAACTGTTTTCACAACTCATTTTGGTTCTATCTGATCTTGTTATGTAAAGTGGGTCTTCAGTCCGAATCGAGTTCGCGCTATTCGATTTCGATTCCTACTCCGAATACCACAACTTTTTTCCATCGAAATTTAGCCAAAATCCCCCAACGCTTTAGCCACGACCTTAATCATGCCACTGTAGGCGAGTCAGAACAAAAAGTATCGGAATATTTTGGGGTCGATGAATGTTGAAGCATTATTTCCCACAAATTTTGACCAAGAAATAGGGTGTGGCGTTCTTTGGCTTCGCGGTTGACTATGGTAATGGTATCAAATGCCGTACCACATATTGATTAGAGAAGGTTAAAATGCGCCACTCCTATAAGTTGATATCTTTACATTTACACGCCATGAAATAAGTCAAAATGGGATGTCACATAAAAAGTGGATGCCTCCATATTCTGTATCTCCTCTTATAGTGAGGAGTGCATACATAAACAGGCTGAGGATAATAAACACCATTTCCAAAACACACTCCCATTAATACCATCAATTTATTAACGCTGCAATGTTTAATACAATCACGTCGGTCGGGGCTTAAGAATTAGGGGTTTTAGTTTGACCTTGGTGGGAAAAGGTGTGATAAAAAAGTGTCTTTTGTGGGCTATGTTTATTATCCTCGAACCTTCCATGTATTCACCTGTCAAAAACGGAATTCACTCGAAGTGGGGATACGGTACGAAGTAGTGCTTTTTATTATTTAACTTCCTGATTCATGGCACGGCTTGTGAATGCATAGCAATATACCGTTTGTTACATTTTAGATTTATACATGAGTAGCACATTTTATATGTGATCACCAAAACCAAACGAGATGTGCCAAATGGTTTGACGACGGTGGCACATCGTTGAAACCTCCTCCAATCAACACGTGGCAAAGCATGGAACGCCATACCTTATTCCTAACCAAACTTTGCAACATCAACATTTGTTGAAAATAAAATGTTTCAACATTCGTTGACCTCAAAATATTCCAATATGTTTCATCTGATTCACCTACAGCGGCATAACTCAAGTTTGTGAGTTGGGGATAAACTACTACGGATCGTACCTAAAAAATTGTGGGTTTTGGCTATGGGCCTGATGGGAAAAGAAGTAGCCTCTTTTCGATATTTCACATCAGCCGGTGATATGCATAGGGTGATCATAGAACAGATATATGGTTGGCTAATTATAACGATGGCGATTTAAGCGAGACGGCTAAGGTGGACCCAACTCGATAAGCGCGAAGGGTGATGCTGTTTTTCGTGCGCGCTAAGGCTGATCGTAGTTGCTGGGACATTGATGATAGCTCCATCGCCAAAGCTTACCACGCTCATTATGGCCATGGTTAAAGATAAAAGGTGAACCGGGCAACAAAGTGAGTTGTACAGGTAGAGTGTGTGTGTGTGGGGGGGGATGCTAGAATCCCTGGACCATGCATATCCCACTGCAGTAATACTTGTTGGTTGAGTAGTCATCGAGATGCTTGCAACCACGACCGCTTTAATCTTAACAGTAAAGGAGGAGACTTATGCGGGTGCGATATAAAACACGTGTTGTTTGTCCATTGACGTGTGAAGACGCAATTGTCTGAATTATAAGACCGTTGAAAGTTAATATTTTGAGGTAAAGCTACTGAGGATGTCACCATAAACACTAATGCTGAATCACATCTTACATGTGTGGAACTTAATTAAGACCAAAGTCTTGAGGGATTTGAGTGTTATTTATCGCGGTGGTGCCTTCCCGATTATTTCACATGCCATCCCTGACATAGTTTCTAGTATATCTCACGTAACTTCATCTCTTATCCTCGCCTGAGCTTACAACCTCCACCAACATTTTAATCAGCCCATCTCTCCAAGTTTTACTTTTGTATTCTGACCCCCTCCACGACTCTAGCATCGATTACCGCTAGCCTTAGCACATTCACTCGTTCGCTTCTGTCATCGTTATAAAATGAGCCGTAATCAGTCAATCAATTATCTATTCCACGATCACGTCATATATGTCACCGCCTGATGCGATGTATCGAAAAAGAATTTTTTCGTAAACACCGTTTTCCACATTTTCTATGAGAACATTT